CCAGCAGCATGTCCCCCTGCTCCTCAGGGCTCCCAGGGAAGGCAGCAGGGAGTGCAGGTGCCTGCAACAAGAAGAGGGAAAGCTGACTGCTGGGGAAGAGGGAGCTGGCTTGGTTGCCATCCCTGCACATGCCACAGCCTGAGGTCAGGCTGGCTGCTACCAATGGGGACAGCACTGGGGGAAAGTCCTAGCAACAAACTGCCTCCATGCAAGGAAAGACAAAGACATCCTCCTCCATAACCCCAAACCAGAACAGCGGATCTGGTGGAGGATCCTCTCTAGGAGATGCTTTGTGGGGATGAAATACATAGGCTCATGCACAAGCTGGCTTCTTTGCAGTTGCCACCAGGCTCGGAAGGCCCAGACCCATCACTGTGCCCTGGAGTGGGCAGAGAACTGCTCCCTGGGGGCTGTCTGCTCTGTGCGCAGGAGAGGGTACGTGCTCTGCCATTCCTGCCCCGGAGCTCCTTTCTCAGGCAGGCTGCCCGCTGCGGTCAGGGGGTGATTAGTCTGGCTTAGCAGTAACAGTACTCTGTTGAAGGAACGAACTTCTTTTCCATTTCATTTGTCGCTGCACTCGCAGTGACAAAAATCAATGTACCGAGCACCTCAAGTAACACAACGATTCTCCAGAACATGCTGTCGTCTCTGGGAAAAGAATGATAAAAAGATCCATCTGTGTTGGTCTCCTGGTGGCTGTTGGTCTCTGGCATTGCAAAGGGGGGCACAAGAGACTGCAGAGACCCATGTGCAGCAAGGCTGTGCCCTGCAAGGCCACATCTGCAGCAGAGTGACTGCAGTAAAGGAGCAGCTTTCTTCCCTGCTTGACTCCAGATCTCGGTAGTATTACCTTGTTGCTCGTGATCTCTAAAGGATCCCGTGTTATCTAAAGGATCTCTAAAGGATCTCTCTCCCAAGTTAATACAGTTACTTAAGGACTTTTCTACTGGTTTGGTCTAGCCAAAAGCTCAGGAGGTTTTTCTGTTTATTTTCCCAGGCTTCACTCTGGGACCACTGAGCATGTATTATCCATCTCCTCTCCCTCATTGGGATGTTTTTATTACTGAGGAATTTGCACAAATATTTTGTGGCGCATTAGTGCCAGACTAGTGGTCCTTTCTGAGGAAAGTCAGTTTGATTTTATGCACAGATTTAACTGGACGACTCAGCCAAGCAAGGTGAACAGGCTCTTGGTCAGTGTGTCTCCCATACTGCTTTGGTTCAGCTCAAAGTCCTGAATACAATGGCTCACAGAAAAAGAGGAAACAAACCCAACTTTGCAACTGACTACCATCTCAGCTTGGGGACTGTCTGGAGATAAGCTGAAGGCAAGAATACTCTTTATTTTATCTTCACTTGCTCGTTACAAAGCAGGATCAGAGCAAAAAACAAATCGACTGGTTTTTTTCTTCCGTCACTGCTTATTTCCTTCCTGAAGCGATAATCCTCGGAGCCATCACAACTGGTTGCTATGGGAGTGACTGTAAGCACAAAGAGAGGATTATGGTTTCAGGTGAGAAAACAGTGATGGGCACGGACAAGCTCCCAAAATCCAGTTCTGCTCTGAGGAGCAACACTGCAGAGAGGCATTAGAAGACTCTCCCTGTTTTATTTGCCTTATTTACGTGTTGGCTTCAGATCCACAACAGCAAAATGGCATGTTAGAGCTAAAGAAGTCACACATAAATAAATGGGGAGAGGGCTAGAAGGGCTGAGGGGAGGGCTCTGTGGGGTTGCCCTCAGAAATGCAAAAGACACTGGAAATCTGGGCTCCTTTCTTCCGCACTCAGATCTCCCCAGAATGGGATCAGTCAGAAAGTCCTTCAGTCTGGGGCCAAAGCTGTATTTGGGTTGCTCTGCAGAACTCCTGCAAGGACTCAATGACAGACATCCAGTGACATGTCCTTTTGTCACCAAAAGAAGGATCTAAAAAATAATGAGATAAGCCAAATGGAGGTGGCTTTATTGAAGCAGGACGTTTTATGCCACCAAGAGATGTATCTGAAGAAAGATCTGCAAAGGGTGTTTATGGAAAGGTAGGGGGATGTCCTTACCGAAGCCAAAAGCAAAGCAGCAACCCCAGAGCGCAGGGCTGTGGCAGCTGGGGTGTTGTGCACAGAAACAGCAGGCAATAAAGGCAAGCCTGGCCAAATACAGACCTCCATTTCTTTCCTTTTAGCTCAGCCTCCTCAAGCCCCACCAGCATACTGCTGCGAGTTAGGGTAGTTTGACGGAGGGAGGGCAGGCTTGACAAGCATTTGTGCATAGTCCTGCCCAGCAAACATCTCCGTCCACCACAGCTTTTGCTCCCATTGCTCCAGTACCTGAAAATCAAAGTGGCACTTTGCCCAAGGAGGAATGTGGGTGGCAGGGCCAAGGTGGATGAAACTCTTGCCATGTGCAGCTAAGCCCAGGTCTGGGGGTTAAAGCCCCAGAGATTATGGTAAAGGTGCCTTACAAGAACTCATGTCATCCTTCCTCCTCCTTACAGCTTTGGCCAGGGTCGGTAACAGCATACTTGTGTCTAGGTGCAGAATAGAGCATGCTTTGGCTAGATAGGGTCTGAAAATATATTAAAGAAAAAAAAAGCCTCTTTGCTGGCACAGCTCTGGGAAACTGTGCTAGAAATAACTGTGCTTATGCATAGCTGTCAAAAACAGGCTGCTGCTGGTGCCACTTGAATGGGAGTGCAGCCAGAACCTTGCTGCCCGTCGGGAGGAACGGGCCATGTTGGAGGTTCGCTTTTGTCTCTAGACTGAGTTTATGTAGATCAAAGGCCAAGGAGGTGTTTTTGCTCTGCACAGGGGTATTTCCCCACATGGCGTGTCAGAAGGATCACATCCCCACCAGCTCCGGCCTTGGCTGTGTGAGGGGCCAAGGCAGGATAAGGACACCAAACCCCCACTGCCTTGAACTAGAGAAGAAGATGTAACTCCAGATGAGCCCTGGGGGGACATTTGGCAGAAAACTCCTGAGTGGATTTTTCCACTTAGACAAACTGCTCTTAATTAAACTGGACAATTTTAGGAACTCTCAGAGGCTGGCTGGCGTTTTCCTTTGGCCAGGAGCTAGAGGGCTATCTAGTGAAATACCTGGGCAGAAAAAGCAGCTACAGGGTCCTACGTGATCGTTCAAAAAGAAAAAAAAAACAATCCAAAGCAGCATTGTAGATATTTGAGTCACAACATGGTTAATTGCACAGACCCAATAAAATAGTTAACACCACAATTGTGAAATATATAATAAAATAAAAAAGAATGTATGACATCAATGTAATTGCAGGAAAGAAAAGGCTGCTAGCCAATAACTGTTCATACATCAAGTTTTAGGCTAAAAGGCAGACCTGTTTCATCTTCTGGGCATTGTAAAAAACCCTGTTTTCTCCCCAGAGAGAGCAAAGATGGCTGTGATTGAATCCAAGGGTACTGGCTGTTCCCTATTTTCCAGTGCTGACACAGTCGTGACAAGGAATTATATATTGCATTCATCACGCCTGCTCTCCAGGCATGATCCCCAAATAATTAATCCCTTTAGCTAGCAGGAGCTGCCATCTGGCCAGTTTCCAATCAACCTGACTGGTTTTACTACAGAGCTGCCAGTTGCCCGCACTCATGTGGGCATGTACGGTAGCTGCTTGCCTCAGGTGCCTGGGATTTCTTTGTATTTTAAAAATGGTGAGCTTCGGATATGCCATGTGCTGCTCAAACACAGATAAAATACCAGCCTTTGTCTCAAAGAGCTTACTGTCCATCAGGAAAAGGAGTGGGAGCTGTACATCATACGTAGAGAAAGACTCAAACGGACTTTTCCTGTTTGCTTGTTTTATGTTTAAAAACTTACTCTGAATAAAAGGCCCAGATTAAAATCCAGGGTTTTTTTCTTAGTCCTCTTGGTCCTGAAGAACAAACGTGGCAACGAAATTACAAAAGGGGAGAAAAGTGTTTTGACACTACAAGTTTGGAGCAGGGCTGTGAAACCAAATGCAGTTCAAAAGAAGCAAATTTGTGTTTGCTCCAACGTGTTTGACCTTATTTAGGTGTGGCAGGCAATCCTGTGGAAAAGAACCAATGCTCTGGTGCAGCTGTCCTACAATGGGGACATCTGGAACTTCTTGGAAGGTGATCTCTGGGATCATCCTCAGACCCCACATGGGAGAAGATCTTCTGGGAGAGCCCATGGGAGAGGGCTTTGCAGTGACCTCTGATGAAGATAGCATGCCCATAGAGAATGAATACCTGTATGTTTCTGAAAATAACCTGGTTTATGGAAAGTCCTGGGGAGAAACCTTCATCATTTCCCTCAGATCCATGCTCTCCCTCTGCTATGACACTGGTCCTAGGTCAAAGGATGAACGTGACCCTGGGTCTCAAGCTGTTCCCTGCTGTGGTCAGTGTGGAGCCACATTGCTTGGCCTGGTAGAACACCTGCCAGATCATATATAGCAAGTGGAAGAACACTTACTCCATGAACCTTTTCAGGTCTGAGCTGTAACACTGCTCAGATACAAGGGAACTGCTTGAATTCAAGCATATTAATAGCTGCCCAATGGTGGAATCTGCTGCACTTTAGCAATAGGATACTGAGGAAACGCAGTGTTTCCGGAGAAGTGTTTCCGAAAAATCTCAGAGTTGGGTTCAAACCTATAACAATGCAGCTGAATGCTTAATGAACATAATCCCAAGTATCTTCCAGCTGGGAAAGTGACTTAAAAACATGATGTGGTTCTCCATAGTGCAGTTCTTTTCTGAAAAAGCAGCTTTTGATATGAAAACTACAGTTCTATAGAGACCATTTAGGCAACAAGTGAAAATAGAGGTGTATTTATATAGCTATTTTTCTGGCTCAGAGTAAAACAAGAGCCCTTTCTTCCTTAGACCACCTGGCCAGCATTAAGAACCAAGGTGCTGTTAGTTAAATTAGGCTCCTGGTGACATCTGAAGAAGCCTTACCATCAACACAAACTCTGAGAAGAGGTATGGTAGGGCTGCTATAGAGGATTTTAGTAGGCAGTTCTGCTATGACGCAAGTTGAGGGAGAAATTTTAGCCTGTTGTCTCCGGGGTACTTTGCGTGGTGAATGAAGGGACATGCTCAAGGCTTAGATCTTCATTTCAATTTTAGGATTACAGGTACCTGATAGCATTAATTCCCATGGGGAGGAGATCAGCAAGAATCTACAGATTTGAGTGTCTGGGACAGAGGAGCTTTATCAGAATTCAGTTTAACAACTGCTCTGCCAAGGTAAACTTCTATGTGAAGTTTGCTTATAATCTGAATAGTTGGGGTAGGTGGATAAAGTTTCCAGGTACAGTCAGTTAGATTTTTCTTTTTTTCATGGAAATTTTGCATTTCCATTTAAAATCCTGAAACTTTCAATGTCTCAAACTTCTCAGCGGCCAGCAGTTTCTCCTCTGAATCTGCATCAAAACTGTTTGACATAAACTGTCTCACAAATCAACTTCTGCTGCCCATGGGCTTCATTTGTAAAGAAACAGTGACAAATGACTCCCCTTACACACAAACCTTGCATATGGAATTCCTGGTTGCTAAATCTAAAGCTACACAGCAGCACTTTATTGGTATCAGATGAATTGTTATATATCTGAATAACAACATTTCTCAGCTCATGAACTCTATTGGAGTTGGGTGGATGCTAGATATCCTTGGTATGAGTTGGCTGCAACAGTCTTCCATGAAAGAGATCCTTTATTTTTAAGGCTATAAAGAAATAGGAACGAAAAATTAACTACAAGCATGCTAGCACTAGAAAAACAATGTGTTCTTGTAACTGAAGATGCAAACTGGTTAGATGGGTCCTGCCATGAGCTCTTTTCTCCTAGTAAGTTTCAGATTGATGCTTAGTGAATCCAGGTGTGCTGTTAAGGGAGTGGGGGGATGCTTTGGAAAGCAGCCTTAGGATCTGCGGCTGCATATAGCAGCTTGCAGGCAGGATGGTGGAGCTGCTGCCTGATCCCTGGGGGCAGTCAGGCTGTGCACCAGCCCTCCTTTTCAGCTACCTGCCTTGCTCATCTTGCAGCTTGCTGCCTGAATCATTGCTTGTCTCCCACGGAAAATTTGAGTCTGTTACTAAAATGAACCTCAAGGGTTAATTCTTCCTTTTTTTCCATGATTCCTCTCCCAAATGTGGGTGTGTTACCTTGTTTTCCCTTGTGCTCCCTCCTTTTTTCCCCAAGCAGACCTTTGCTGACATTTCAGTCCATCCCCCTTGCCATAACTCTGGCAGCATATTTGCTCACCTAAAAGTAAGTGCTCTGTTAGCAGGAGAAATCCTTTGTCAAGTTAACAAAAGGCTGAAGGAATAGAGAAAATAAAATGAAGGTAAATTATATTTACATAAAGGACCTTAAAAAAAAATCTGCCTGCTTGCCAGCGCAGTGAACTTGCTGCCTAAGGCTTTTTAATTTCATTTTTTTAATAGATTTGTTGGAAATATTTATTTTCTTAAAGCTTCAGCAGGCATTGCCAAACTTCCGAATGGCTTATCAGCCCAATCTGGTGTGGCAGATTTCCTCACAATTACTGATTTTTCTGGTAGAAAGAAGCCCTGTGATGTGCAAACCCAGAGCAGCACAAGGAGCAGGTGAGAATGCAGCTTTCACAACAGAGTCTTCTGAACACCCAGACGAGTTGACTAAGGCTGTGATCACTTTTCGGACAGGTGAGAAGTCTTGGGATGTACCATGGTATCTAGTGAGATCTCCCTCTCTGCCTGAAGGTAAATGGGTCACGGCTGGGTGAGGAGTTTGGCTGCATTTTCCCACTGGTCTGACAATTGGGTAACTGTTGCATGCCAGCCCCCTCACATTCCCAGGCCTGCTCTTTCCTTAAAAGAGTACATAATGGGGTGAAGGGGGAAGGTTTTCAAACTCTATCCTTCTCCTTTTTCAGGCAAACCCACAAGCTCTCACATTGATCTTGAGCATCTTGCCTGAGGAAAGCCAAGCTCACGTGTGGCACAGTGCAGGGCAAGGAAGCGGAGCTGGAACCTCTTAGCAGCAGATGAACTGCTTTATGTTTTGTGTTAAGTAATGAAGGGCTATAAACAAATTATAATCATTGTCGGAAGCTTTTGTGTGTTTCGGTTGAGGCCGGATTCTCTCCATAAGGGCAAGCACAGGCAAAATACAGCAGCAGGAACAGACAGTCATCACCAAATCTGTCTGAGGGTGTGTTGAGCAGTGAGGCGATGGGAGCAGCAGGAAAAAGCAGTAAGGAAACACTGAGGCTAGCGTGCACTTGTGGGATTAACTGTCTGGTAGCTGAACCCATGTGCTTATGGCTACAACCATAGCGTGAGATAGTTGCAACAGTTAGCTGAATCTGTACTGAGTGATTAATAGAGAATAGTCTGCGCAACAGCTTGGGAATATTTATATAACTGTCAATTCCTTATAAATAACCCTCATTACTTTCAAATGCTAAGCTACCTTCCTTCAAGCCTAATTGAATGGACGTTAAAGATGTTTAACTTAGAGTTCTCCCCATATAACTAGGGGATATTTTCATCCTCTCATTGTCTGGGGAGGCTGGAGGGGGAACTGAATCAGCATCTTCCACTTCTCCAAAGTGATTTCTCTAGTTTATGTAGTGTCTGGAGGCCATGAGGATTTTTCCCGGCAAAAATGAAAGAGCTGTTGCTACAGCAAACAACTTGTTCGGTCCCAGGATACACTTTAAATATGAAAGCATGTGCTGCTTGTGATGTAGCAGGTCACTAATAATGCTCATACCCATTAATTACAAATGTATATATGACATGTAATACACCCTTGATCTGGTAATTGAACTGCAATAAAGAAAAAAAACCAAGAACCCTGGTGTGAAATATTTCGGGGGCTGGTTTTATTTCCCTCCAATACGACCCCTTCACGTACGCTGCTTTCTGTAGTAGTGAGGCAGCAAAAGTCAAGCTCAGAACAAAGACTGTGTTTCACCTTCAGGGCAAGATTTTTTTCCCCTGCATCTTTCCTATTTTTGAAACAAAAAGTTTGAAGCAAAAGCTCTATTTTAAAATTAACACATTGCCTGATTTTTAAAGTGTCAATACCTTTCCTGATTTTTTTTTTTCTCTTAATTGTCTTTTTTAAACTATTTTGCTAAATAGACTCAGGTATGTAAGTATTTACATATATATAAATAATACTTATCTCTCCTGTCTCCACTTTATTTATGATGTTCAAAACATATTTTGCTCAGCTCTGATTGCTTCTTGCTCAAGCCCTCCTAAGTAGCTGGGACAACATCTGTGGTGGTCTGCTCCCAGGGATGAACTGAACATGTTCAGAGTGCTGTGCCCCTTGGTAGGAGACAAAACAGGAGGCCTGGCCTCACCTGACCTACAGCAAATAATTTCACTCTGATACCGGACTTTATTATTGTGATGTGGCAGTATGTAGAACTCATCTGATGCAAAGCAAACAAATGAAGAAAAAGGTTGTTTTCTTCTTTCTATGAAAAACATTTTAAAGAAAATATTTTTTTTTATGCTTTCAGGGGTTTAAATCAAGCACAGAAAAGCATCCTCTGGATGTTGATCTTTTGGGAAGCACTGAGTGAGGGGTGGTTTGGTTTTTTTTCATTTGCTTGTTTTTTTTTTTTTTCCTAATTGTCATAGTTTAGGCAAAAAAGTGAGTTTTTCTACCTAATTGTATAATATGTGGAGGTTTGCTGACCAGTAGAAACCAGATGGATACTTCTCAAGTGTCAGAGTCCATCACTGCTCCAAAACTCTGGCTTTGCGCTACAGCTGTAAAGTGAGAGTCAACCGAGATGAAGGGGCTGACCCAGGATAGAGGGTCCCAGGCTGAGAAAGCAACCAAGTGGTTGTCTTGCCCTCACCAGGCACTGGGAAGAAGTGTGCTGATTGCAATTGAATTGGTTGACTTGACTTGATTGACTTGAATTTAGAAGGTTAAGTCAAGAGATCAGGAGGCCTCTGAGGCTGGGGGAAAAAGGCTCAGTGCCGAAGTCCAGAGCTTAAACTTTAAAATGATGTCATTGGGCCACCCCAGTTTTGCAGCTGAACTTCCCCTTCTGCAAGAGAGCAAGAGGAGCTTGGAGAAAAACAAATGGGAGGTGGAGATGAAAGGGGACAGAAGCCATTACCCGTGTTAGACTTGTGGGGGCAAGGTGAGATGTGGTAAAGGAGTAAGTGGGGTGCTTTGTAAATTCCCGGTACATATGGTTTGGGTGGGTTAATAGCTTGACTCAGCATGGAGGAAAGACATTTCCTTCTCAAGCACAGCTTATGAGCTCAGACCAAGCTTTTGATTCACACTTTGAGTGGGTTAGTTTCACAAGTCTTCTAGTGCATCTTTGAAATTGGATAAGAGCAAACCCACAGTAAAAAAGGCTTCTTGTGTTTCTGAGTGCGTAACTGCTGCAGTTTCATTATGATCTAATGTTTCATTGACAAAACCTCAGCTTAGGAAGTAGCAGAGACATGGTAAAATATGATCCCTGAAGGACTGATGTTGAAAAACAAAAAGCTAGAACTGTGGAGCAAAAAATGGGTGGTTTTATAACTAATGTGTGCCTTTTTTTCCTTTAAATTTATTACTGCTCTGAACCTGAAACTACCAGACATCCTCAAGAGGCAAGACTAAACAGTAGCAAGCATGGTGCCTGTGTGCCCCAGGAATGGAAATGTGATACCAAATACTTCACCCTTGGCTGATGTGGTCCAGGCTTGTAAATCATGACCTCTTCATAGATGGGAGCCACCCGCTAGGTGCCAGTGAGATGCTGGCCATGTCCCAGGCAAGCCTTGCAGATGCTGAGGATGGAGCAGAGGCACTGCATGGCCCACTCTGCCATAGCTCATCTGCACAAAGGACTGCTCAAACTTCAGTGTGGCTCAAAGTCTTTCTGCAGTTGTTGGTAGTGGCCTGTTTCATCCCTGGGGTTGGCACCAGCTGCTGCAGTATCAACAGCTTAAATGCAGTCCAGGAAACTTACTCGCTCCTGCTTGAGCTTTCTGAATAACAACTAAAGCTTTCTGCAGAGAGACCCCTGTTCTGCAGGCAAATAAGGACAGAAGCACTGGAAAGCTCCTGTTTCTTGGTGCCATCTTACTGCTAAAGGCCCCTATCTCCGGAAAACCAGTAGCTGCCTTCATGAGGGAGGCACATTTTTGATTAGATAAGCTGAGAAAATGATATTCTGAGACCTGGTATCCCTGCTAAGTGTGTTGTTACTACTACTTGGGATGGTCCTTTAAAAACTACCTGTGTTTTAAACTCTTGTGCAATTCCTTCACAGAACAAGAGCCACCTGTGGCTCTGCTAATCAGCTACTGAGGTGAATAGGGGGGAACCGCAGTATTAAAACAACCCAAAGAAGTTTCCAGCCCTGTGACTGTGGTGGGGCATCTTAGCAGTTTGACAGCGCACACCTCAGGAGCTCGGAAACTGGAAGGCGAGGCGATGATCTGGTGTTTGCATTCTTCCAATATTTCTTAGGGTTTAAACCAACAAGAAGCTTTGTCTGTAATTTTGCGGTATCGTTCAGCTGTTCTGAAGTGCGTGCAGAGCTTCAGAAAGCAGCTTAACCAGCCAATAAACTGCATGCATAGCTGAAGAAATAAATATATAATTCAAGAGTGTGCCCTTAATGCCCATGTTGAGGCAAAATAACATTAAAAAAAGAAACTCTGCAAGACTGAGGTAATGTGTACAGGAATTCTGTTGTTGTTTTTTTGTTCCTACGCACATGCCATTGGTGTGAGGTAGTGTTTGTACTTTGCTCACGGTGGCTGGGAACGTCACTGTCTGGCACCGTACAGGTAATGTATTCAGGACAGCTTACAGGTGGTGGCACAAGGCTGCACTTGTTTTTCTTTCCCTTTTGATTAAGCATGTTCATTTTGCACCAAGGTCATAGTGTGTGTGGGAGGACTGGGGGAGAGGAATTAAAGGGGAAAAGAATGTGCAATAAGAGATGGAAATTACAAAGTCCTGGCGACTGCGTGCAGCACAGTACTTGTTAGAGGAGCTGATTCAGGGCATGGGGAGCCAGGGAGCCCTCCTCACTGCTCCTGCAGACCCCCATGCCCCTACAGCAAACTGCTGGGGTACATGGAGGCTGCAGAGGCTTATGGTCTGGGTCAATTCACCATGTGTGAGTCATTTCCTGGCTAACTGCCTGCCCTCCCTGGCTACCCCTGCTGAAAGCCAGGTTCTTTCAGACCATGGAGGTTTTCAGGGCAGTGTGGGGAAGAGCTAGGAATGTAGGTACACCATTGCTATGAGCTGCTCTTTGCATTCAAAGTTGGTGGTGTCAAGTGAAGCTCACTAGAGCTAACCCAGGTAGGGGGACATGAGCTGGGACATGTCCCCATGAGCTGGGGACAACGCTCATGTTATTGCTTCCTCATTTGACTCTCTAGGAAGCAGGAATCCCACACCCTTAGTGTCTGAAACTTGTAAAATTGAATGTGGGATTTTTAACAGCTTAGTGAATGGCTTGCTTCCTGCATGGGTTTTGCTGTTGTGACTTTATGTGTTTATTTAAAGAGTACAGACTGTGAAAGAAACAGGAAGCTGAGGACACTCACCATTATAGTAATGCTACCTAACTGAAAAGGAAGTCATTTTTAGTCAGACTAGAGTCTGCTATACTTTAAGTACCAGAGACGGCTGGGGCAAAAAAGACAACCAGACCTCAGCCTATGTAGCAAGGATTCAGCTCCTTGCTGATGTTGGAGCCTTTGGGAGCTGCATCAAGCCAAGTTCCTTGAGTTTTTTTGCCAGGCTGACCACTGACAAGATGTAAGGAGGAAGTTGGGGCATTCTTGGTAATGTTAAGACAAAACAAACAAATGGTTTAATAAACAAAAAAACACCTTTCAGGACTGCTCTATAAATCATAAAAATATGACTCCCTTAGTCATGCTTCCACACATTGTTAATTTTTCTGCCATAATTTCTTTTCCTTTTTGTGACTAGGCACCGAGGACTCATCTAGAAAGATTAGACATGATTTGTACACAAACACATAAGAAGTTATTGGCCATGGGACCACTAAATGGTCACTAAAGAGCCCTTCCCTCCTAGCATCTCTCTTCCGCAAACCCATGCTCCACCAGATGAAAGCACCTCAGTGCAGGAGCCAAAAATGCTCTTGGTTTCCAGAAATGTGGGGAAAAAGTGATCAAGTCTTCAGTCCCTGGGGAATCCTCAGAGGTGGGTGATGCTCCGTGCAGTAGAGAAAGGAAGGACAAGACCCTTGTTCTCTCCCCAGTCTAGATGGTGACAAGGGGACATCCTTTCCTTATTCTATGTCTAATAACCAGTTCAACCTTGAGCACAGGAGCAAGAGACAGCAGCCTTTCAGGACTCTGACAGACTTTCAAAACCATGCAAAGATGCAGGTCTTCCTGCCCCATGTCCTCTCTTGAGCTGGATCTGCAGCAGTGTGAGAAGGTGAGGCATAGGGGGGCCTGGGAAGAGAGGTGTTTTACAGGTTGCTGTAGCCAGTCATAGAAAACAGGAGCTCATTTAAACTGCAAATGTAAGGTGCTCACAAATACAATCAGTGAACGGTAATTAAGTTTCTTTGGTTGAAACGTGGAGGTAGGCTAAGAGGGTTTTACAAAGCACAGATCACTTGTGTAAAACACGCTGGAGATTTAGGGTCTTGACTCCTTATGAGC